GAAAAAGTCGAGAGACCTTTTAAGGCATACGAGGTTGTGGCCATGACTGAAGAGAGTAGCGCGAAAATTCAAAAGAAGTTGCCCCTCAAATGCAAGGATCCCGGGAGCTTTACTATTGAGTGTTCTTTTGGAGGTTTCCATGTTGAGAAGGCCTTGTGCGACTTGGGGGCTAGTGTGAATGTGATGCCGTCGTCGATGTTCGAGAAGTTGAAGTTGGAGACGGGAAAGTTTAGGCCCACGACTATTGCACTAAAAATGGCGGATAGATCATTGTCCTACCCACGAGGGGTTTTAGAGGATATCATGGTTAAAGTCGGTGATTTCATTTATCCGGCGGATTTTGTCGTGCTAGACATGGATGACGGCGATGATGTTTCGCTAATTTTGGGGCGACCGTTTCTGGCAACTGGACGAGTATTGATAGACATCGAGCGTGAAGAGCTTACTTTCCGGGTGTTTGATGAGCATTATACATTTGTCATTGATAGAGGACCGAAGAAAAAGAAAAGAAAGAGGAGGAACACCGGGGTCGGAATATGGTGAAGGAGTTGGTCGGAATGAATGGAAACGACCCATATTAAGAACTCGAGAGACGTCTAGCTAAATACGTTAAATTAAGCGCTTGGTGGGAGGCAACCCATCTTTTATCGCTTTTATTTTTATTTTTTTTTTATTTTTATTTTCATTTAAAAAAAAAAAGAAATCTGAAAAAAAAATAAAGAAAAAAATTGTGGTGATCGAGTGTTCGAGCGAAGCATGGAGAAGATGTTCATGCTCAAGGGTGCAAGGATTACTTACGGTGGAACTCGCTCGACTTATCGGTTAGTTACTTGGGATATACCGTTTATTTTTCTTAAACTCAATTCTTTTCCAAAGAATAAGTTTGGGGGAGATAGATGTCGTATATCTTGAGTTTTTATCGCTTTATTGCATATCATATAGTTTCTTGCATTAGTTCTTACTTTTATGATTTTTTTTAGGCTATTTTTATTCTTAGGTTGCACGTTTACTTGCTTTATTAGGATATAGTAATAATTTGCTTGAGTCGGTTCTTTGTGTATTTCTTTTGCTTTGGCCGAATGGTGGATAAAACTTGAATGATGAATGGTGATTTGATGTGATTGAGAAATTGTTATGGGGTTATAATTTGTTGTGCCTAGATGAAAATGCTTGTGAACTTTGAATCAGCGATATATTGAGCCTAGTGAGACTTGAGCCTTTATTCTTTGTCTGTGTGTGTCAATTGGATACCCGAGTTATTATAATTTGCCTTGATTCTTACTTGAAAAAAATGCATTGGTGATTGTGAGCTTTAAAAATGATTTAGGCGGTTTTTGAATTAGCTCGTTTGGCCTTGTTCTTTGTCCTTAAAAATATTTTTCACTAGTAACCCGTTTGAGCCTTCAGTTTTTTTCTTGTCAACCGGATTATCTTATTTATTTGGAGAGTTGATTATTGTTTGGGATGGAAGGGGATAACGGTGTTATTTATTGAATGATTGGATATGGAATGCGGTGGCACTGATGTTGCATTTAAGGTGCTTGAATCGAAAAAAAAATGATAATAAAAGGAGCTCGCAAGTCGAACTGTCGGGATTCTACTCCTCTTACGAGTTGATTGATTTTGACAAGTAATGAGTATGGGAAACTACTCTAGGATACTTGGATGACCTCCAATGTTTATATCTAGGGAATGTTGTCCTTACGGTTTGATCTTGTTTGGAAAAAGTAAACTCCCCTTGAAAAAAAAACAAAAAAGAGAAAAAAAAAAAGAAAAAAAAAAAAACGGTCAAGTACTCTCTGTGCAGTTTGATTTGAGGATTTATGAGTTGTGTATGGATTATTTTGGTTTGAGGATGAGAAACACTGATGTTGATTAGGGATGAGTAGCGGAATAGTCGAGTAGTCTATTTACTCGAATGATATGATTGTTTATTTGAGCCACTTTATCCATATATATCCTACCTTTGACCAAATAGCCTATGTTACAACCCGAGAAGACCTTCTGATTTAAAGCTCACGATTACTAATTGTTTTTGAAGTAGGGTGTTAGATGATTGGCAAACATATAGTTAACTGGGTGTTTAATTTGACTTGAGTGTATCCTTCTCTTTTATATATTGATGACATGTGAGTGAGGCACTTATATATTCCTATTTGAGAGTTCGTTGATTCAAGGTAGACACAAGATAGTAGTAAAAAACATGATTATTATGATCGTTTGAATTTTTCTTGGTTGCATTGAAGAACTTGAAACTGTTCTAGTTTGATATCACTCATTATGCTTGAGTTTTGATTTTCTTATTCTTGTTCGGGGACGAATAAGGGTTTAAGTTTGGGGGAGTGATGTTCATCATATTTTCATGCATTATGAGTGATATAGTGTGATG